GCTTGTTGTAGCAGGGCACCCGCGGCCCAGCCGAGCTGGTCCAGGAGGTCTCGGCAGGTCAGCGGGGAGCTGGGGGGGCCCGGGCGGCGGGAGGGTGGCCGCCATCTCACCCCTGTCCCCCTCTGCAGCCTGCACGTGGAAGGGGCAGGATTGCCCCCTGTCCATCCACATCGACAAGGGCTTCACCATCTCCACCACCGAGCCCGGGCTCAGCAAGACCATCCTGCTCCAGCAGCCCTTCGAGAAGCTGCAGATGTCCTCTGATGACGGCACCAAGATGCTCTACCTGGACTTCGGTGGACCGGAGGGAGAGATTGTGAGTTGGCTTGGCCCTCGTTTCCCCCCCCCCGCCATGCATGTCACCCATCCTGCCCGGCACGGGGGGTGGCCTCATCCCCCCACCACTGGCCGCATGCAGCCCCCGCAGTGCCCAGCCCTTCCCAGGGCCCCAGGAGGGCTGTGGTGAGGTCTGGGGGGCTCTGGGTAGTCCCTGCCCTCCCTACCGCAAGCACAAAGCTGCTGCTCCAGGAGCAGCCCTCCCTGTTGCAAACATCCCTCCGTTCCTTTCTTGCAGCAATTGGACCTTCACTCCTGCCCCAAAACCATCGTCTTCATCATCCACTCCTTCCTCTCGGCCAAGGTGACCCGGCTGGGGCTGCTGGCATGAAGAGGGAGCGGAGCGCTGGGCAGAGGGGCCCCAGCCCCTGGCGGATCTATGCACCTCCCTCCAGGCCAAACCCAGCCCCAAGCCATCCCAAGGAGACCAGAGCCCCCACGGGGTTGTGCCACCCCTGCCGAGGACAAGCACCAACCGGCTGGGAAAAACAACAGCCGGGGCGTTTGGGAGCAGCAGTGGGGTGAAATCCCTCTTGGATGGCAGCACCGGGACTTCTCCGGTCCCTTCTTCCCCTCCTTCCTCCCTCTCTGATGCTCAACGGCGGCTGGAGAAGCCCGGCCAGAGCCCACCGTGGGCAGCCACGCGGTCGTCACCCCAGTGCCTTGTGAGATGATATTTTCTGTACAAAGAACCCGTTTATATCGATGTTTTATATTTATATCGCCCAGTTAAAAATGCTGACGTGGCAGCTCTCGCCTGCCTGGCTTGGACCCCCCGGAAAGTCCCCAGGTCCTGCAGTACGAGGAAGTGTCTGTCCCCCAGACAGACAACCGGAGGGCTGGAGACCGGAGCCAGCTCCGTAGTGCTTGAGAGATGGGAACTGCAGATCAGCTCTATTTGCCAAATTTTTCCATATTGTACCGAAAGATAGGAACCACTTTTCTTTGTCGGAGTTGGCTGGTTGATTTTATTTTGCTAACTCCTGGGTCACTTTATTTCTCAGTTTAGGGAGGGGGGGGCTTGTCAGGTGGCTGCTGGGAAACAACTTTTATCAACCAAAAAATTCTGCATGAAAATGCCTTTTTTGGGGGGGGTCAAATAAACATTGCAGATCACAACCAGCAGGAGCCGAGACCTGTCTCCTGGTTTTGCTTGGAGAAGTAGAAAATCTGTACGTGGGTGATACTGGGGCTGGGCCTCGGGGTGTGTTCTACCAGGGGGAGGAAGGGTTTTGCTTGGAGGCGGTGGGAGGTTGCTGTGAGCTGGTGATGTTGGTCTGGGGGTGCTGGGGACCCTGGGAGGGGGGTTCAGATGAGGACAAAAAGTCTTCGAAGGCGCCTGATGCTGTGCTGGGTGCAGCAGGGAGGGCTGCGCTGATGCTGGTGCCAGCCTTGGCGATGCCAGGCGGGGTTTGAACAGCCTTCGCTTCGTGCTCTGGGATGCTCAGCGGAGGGTGGGCATCGTCTCCAAACTCAAAAATGTTGCGTGTTTTGCTTTTTATATTTTTCCAGTAAAAGTAGGTGCCTGGATGGGCAGCAGCAGAGGTTTTGAACGTTGTTCCCTTCATGTGCTGCCCTTGCTGGAAAAGTCCGGCAGCGGCATGGTTATGGTGTCTGCGGGCTCCCAGCGTGCCTACAGCACAGCCGGTATTTACCGGGTGCTTCATGGATTAACCTCGACCACTGTTGCCCTGTTAGCCTGGGGCTCGGCATCAAAAAGCCTTTTCTCTCCCCAAAAGCAAGGGGCCGTGCTGTGGCAGTGGCTGCTGTGGGTGAGCTACAGAGGATGCTGAGAAATAGCCAAGTTCTCTGAGAAAACCTGCCCAGCCCTGCCGGCTCTGCATGCTGGGGTGACGCAGCCGGTCCTCGCAGCTGCCCGAGGCGAAGCGCCAGGGCTGTGTGCGGGCAGTGGCCCTTGAGGGGTCTCTGGGAGCTCGGTGAGAGCTGCCAGCCCCCACCAGTCCCCCCGTCTCCCGGGGGAAGGCGCTGCGCCCGTGCCGGTGGCGTGGTTTAATGAGAGGTGAGATTTGCCAACGCCTTTCTACCAGGCTGGGAGATGTGCGAGCCCAGCGCCCCGGGGCAGCGGCAGAGCTCTCGGCACGGCATCTGCACCCACACGGGGACACCGGGAGAGGAAAGGGCCGCATTCACATCACTGTGCAGTGACAAATTCTGAGTGAACCTTCTCCTTTTGTACGTGGGGGAGCCCAGAGGCTCCCAGGAAAGCTGTTAGCCGGGGTGAAGGCTGATGCGCAGGCTGCAGGCTGAGTAATAGCAACTGATTAGCAGCAAAATACGATTTTTAATGATAAGCAGGTGATGCGTCCTGTCGCACTGTACGGAGTCGTCCCCGGCACAGCACTGATCGGAGCGGTGGGCTACGTCGGCCTCAATTGGGCCTTCGGAACCTCGAGTGAGGGAGGGAATCCCTGTTTGCCCGCATTGGCTGTGCGTGGGAAGCGCTGCTCCTTGTTAAGCAGAGGCGGCACTTGTAGGTGAGGAGGATGCGAGCTGCAGGGTTTCCGCTCTGGTTGGAGCAGATTGCAACGCACCACTGGGAAATTAATGATTTGCCTAACGAAGAGGAGCCGGTCCCTGGCAGACGAGGGGGGGGAGGCTGCCCTGGCTGCCCCTGCGACGGTGCGCGTCCCGAGGGAGGCGTTCGGGGCAGGACGTGGTTTGCCATGTGCAGAACTGCTCCCAGGTGCAGGGACCCTGATGCCTTTAGGGTGCAGGGGGGAGAAGCAGGCCACGAGCTGCAAGAAACGGAAGGAAAGCGCTAAAAATGCAAAGCAGCAAGGGCAGTGGGGCACGTGCGGTTTCAGCAGGGAGAAAGCACAGGAACAGCTTATTTGGTGTAAAGAAATAATTGTTACGGCT